CATGATCTGAAGATTGCAGGTTCGAATCCTGCCCCCGCCATGTCTTGATTTCTAAAAGTCTGAACTTGAACCCTAGTTTCCATCAAGCAGAAGCAAGACCGACCGAGGGAAGAGGGCTGTTTCCCCGATGGCTATGAATGGCGCGGTTACTATCCGGAAGATTGGGAAAAGCTGCCAAGCAATAAAAGAAAGCGAGCATAACAAATATGAGGACATGAACGCAGAGCATGCCATGCATTGTTTTCCAAGAATGACTACTTTGAATGGTCAGGATAAATAGCCACTCTACTTCCACCAGCTGAGATCAAAGCACGAAAGAAAGTATTTAGTCTGTATCTGAACCATAGCCATATGCTGAAACCATAAAATGAGATGACCGAGACGATAGAACCGTAACCGATAGGAAAGAAAGCTGGCGCAAAATAAAGACATACCAGACCGGGTCAAAAGATAGATTGCCCTCCGGCTGCATTTCCGAGGAATTCACTTCAACCACGTACTTCCATACATCAGAGGTCAAGCCCTCTTAAAGCCCAACCAAAGCAAAGCCAGCGAGTCAGTTCGGCTTTATTGATGTCCGAAGGTGAAGACAAGTAGAGAATTGACCTTGACCGGAGCACCGAGAACGAGAACATATAGTGCCTTTATTTTTTCAATTATGCCCGCTGACCGCTTTAGGAGGTGGAACCCCGAAGGAGAGATAGGGCTTAAATTATCACCTCACTGACGAAGCCTTTAGCAGATATCACATGGGTGGGGCATTCAAACTTTGAAAAGGGGCAGGCCCTGAACACTATTATTCTGACAACGTCGATCTGGCCATATGGCCCGTAGTGATGATAAATAGAGAAAAACATCCAACTTCCCCCCTCCAGATTAGACCATTGTGCCAAGAGCACCACAAATGAAATGAATAAGGACTGATTTGGAAAGAAGGTTTGAATACGAACCTGACCTAGAAGGGGAAAGAGATTTGAGGGAAATCAAACAAAGGAAGATAAATGTGGGACCTGAAGTGAGGACCACGTGGGGCAGGATCCGACCCAGAGGTTTTGGAGTTGACAGCAGCTTTTCTTCCTCAAAGCCAGCCTCAAGGCACAAAGTTGAGGGCGAAAAGCCTTTTTTAATAAAGAAAGAGGGACTTCGATTGTCATCTAGTGATTTTTCATATACTTATTTTTGGCCTCAGGTCTCATTTCCTAGGAACGGAAGGAGTGGCATATACTAAGATGCCGGCGGGAATGGATTCTTGAGCCCCTTATTTACGTGGCGCCAACCTAAGAAAAGATCGAAGTACCAAATGCTTAGGTCACCCGAGAGAGGCCTACGGGGCATTACGAGAGAAAAAGCTCCTAGGCTGTGGGTCAAGACCAGAGAGCTACAGGTACACCTGGGGCAACAAAGCACTCACAGGCGGGGTCGGGGCAAGGGCAGCACGTCACGGAAGTTCTCAGCTTAATCTTACAGGCGCTATATCTTGGGTGCGCGATATGGTGGGACTGTCTAGCACAGAGACCCCCAAGCATCCCTGAGTTACAGCAGCTGGCGGAGGCAACGCAAATCGGGGAACCGGCAAGTTCTTCCGCAAAAGTCAGGCAGCTAGTAGACCACCTCAGTGAGCAAGCCAGGGAGGTGGCCAGTGAAGCTTCAATGGAAAGAACACCCAGAGCTCTTGCAATGTGGATGGCTGGGCTAACGCTAGCATTCGCTATCTCCATAGCGCTTGCTCAAAAGGTCCGGGGTTATACTGGTTATTAAGACGAGCCTGGAATTTATGGGAAAAGGTATACTACGCAAGAAGAGCTCCTCCCCCTAGATCTTTGCTTAGGAAAAAAAAAAGTCGAGTAGTCGTAATTCGAAAAAAATGAAGGTGGGGCTGGGCAGTAGCACCGAGATCTCATAGAGGAGGCATTTTGATCGCGGGCTCCCTTTTAGATGTGGATTTAGGTGGTTTTTTTTATGCAAGACGAGTGAAATGGGAAAAGAAAGGTGGAGGTTGACCTGCTTTGTGACAGATGTGGAATGGAGCCTGAATCTACCATTCATGTTTTAAAGGGCTGCCCTTGGGCATATGGCATTTGGCTACTCTGCCCATTAGCCCTTCATACTCAACAGATGCAGGCTCTCTCTCAGATTGGGTGAAGGAGATGGGGAAGTGTCTTGATGAAGAGCAGCTGGAACTGATGCTAGTAGTTGCATGGGCTTTATGGAGTGATATAAATTTGCTGTTGTTCCAGGACATACAGAACTATCCTGTGGATGTGGTGAACAAAGCAATCAGCTTCTTCTAATAGTATAAGAAGGAGAAGCTACAAATTGTGCAAACACCTATTGGCAAGCCCCACCCCATGGTGTTTATAATTTTAATACTGATGCTGCTATTTTTAACCAGCAAGGGATTGGCTGCTTGCTTCATCCCGCCCTTCCTTCCCTCACCTGTCCCACACGCTCTTTGATGCCGAAAATCCTATGTTCTGAATGACCATGAACACACTGCTTGAGACCCTTCTTTCTTGTGAATGGGTACGAAAGAAAGCAATTCTTCGCATCACTCCTTCCTTGGATTAGTAAACTACTATCGATAATTCGTGGAGGGTTCTTCAAGGGCCCTGACCGATAGGAATCAAGGATGAGTCTCTACATCTATCTTATATCTGTTCATTTAGGATTAAAAAGGCTTTAGGAAGACAATGAGATCTCAGACTTTCCTAAAAGCATAGTAAGGGAGTCCTAAGTCGAATAGCCTTATTCAATTCAATGATTTTTTAGTGAATACCCGAAAGAATGGACAACCCACGGGGTCACTCTGTCCTTAAAGACTCATGTTATCGTTCACGCTTCCCGGCCATGGATTCAATACCTAAAAGGCAGCTACATGTCTACTATTTATTCATACTTTAGAAATGAAGGACTCTCTCTATCCTGAGTTACTCAACCAGACCCGGACCTTACTCATACTTACTTCCCGGTACTCAAATCCGCTATTTCTCAACCGGACTCGAAGACAGTGGTCTAACCATTTCAAAGTCGAGGAATGGCAGAAGATTGCAAAGACTCGAGAACAGAAAGGGCATTGGCATCGGGGCTAGAAAGCAAGCAAGCAAGAAAGGAAAGCTAGAGAGAGATAGCCCTTTTCTAAAGTATATATAACCATTCTAAAGGCTTATAATAAAACGGACTCTCAAACCATAAGGCATGGGGTTCGCTTGAAAGTTAAATTCATGAGCTTGTTAACGGTACCTGGGCACCTCTTGCTAGCTGTTCTACCGCCATCTTTGATGGCCTGTAGCTTGATTTCGAACAGAGAAATTGCTTCTTTCTATTAAAGGATAGACGAGCACACGTACGCGAAAGAAAGCCAAGGAAAGAGCGGCAAAAGCTTTTTCTCTTTTATTTAAAGAAGTAGATGCCATGAGGATGGATGCCCAATGGAGAATAAGATGTCAGCTGGGGGATTCAAGCTCTATACCTTACCTCTCCCAAAGGGCAAAGAAAAGGCCTATAATCAACGCAAAGGGGAGCTCTAAGGATAGGATACAGGCAGGGATAGAAAGATAAGAAAGAAAGGCAAAGGTTCATTAGCTCCATAGTTGCTAACAGGTAGGGGCTGTTACTGGTCCGCAGATGAACTTAATCTCTCAAGTTGTTGAGCAGGAATGGGAACCTAGCAGATGCACTCATAGCTGATGCTAATGATTTATAACATTGAAAAAAATATAGTATAGAAAACGACTCCAAAAAAGAAAAATGCAAGAGAGGTTGGTAACTAGGTTTTCGGGTCCTGACAAAGGATGGAAACCGGCTTTCCTTAATCCCGATAAGGGTGCGGGAGGAAAACAGCCAGATCTATGGCTGATAGATGGGGAACTACCAACCTCCACAGGAGCCGCTAGCTCTCTAATGAAATAAAGTCCCGGATGCAGTAGAGCTAAAATATCACCGGAGGAAAAAACTTTCATTCTTCCGTCTTGAAAGCGAGTGAGCAAGCCCCATCCTCTTGGGAGTTTACTGATCAAACGCAGTATGGGCGGACTGCTCTTCATTCAGCCACGCCACAGTGACCCCCGAAGCGATCTTCTTTTAGTTGCGGGACGAAATCCGGAAGCCGCTGGCTTTGAATAACCAGCCCGGTAATAAGTTTAATTCTTCCATAACATAACGGGGCGGGGTTGCGTGCGAGCCAAGTGACGGAGGTGCACAAGAGTACTTCGCGCCACAACCATCTCTTTTTTATAAGTTCTACGGATCGATGCCTGCTGCTTCATCTGGGAGAAAAGAATCATAGATATGCCGGTCATTAGAAGGAAGAACCGCCATAAAAAGATTCCTCGTGTATCATCTGTAGCAAAACTATGAACGGAAGCTAGCAATCCGGACCGTATTGAAAAGGTTCCTGAGACACAGCATGGAAGAGTCACAATATTAAGAAACGAGATCCAAGAATGAAGAAGGGGTAGAATTACGGAATGAATACGAGCTGTGGCTAATACCCAAGGCATAAAAGAAGCATTTTCTACGGGATCCCGAAACCACCAGCCACCCCGACCTAATTCATGATGAGCCCACCAACTTCCTGGCATGATGCCCACGGTTAAAAACCACCGACATGTCAAGATCCAAATTCGAATCTGTTTCTGGTCCTGGTCAGATACCACTGTGTTCACGCCGGCGCTCCAACAAAGAGGCGAAGTAGTGGTCTCTTTCTGTTCATTACGAACGACACGCTTCGCCTGCTCCCTCCCCGTGTCCACTAGCGCTCCTGTACAGAGCGAAGAGAAGGCGAAAAAGCGCCGCCAAAGCAGCATGAGCAGGCTTCTATTGCTACGCAACAAGAGAGCTGGATAGCATTTTGTGACCACATGTTTTAATTTAATGGTAAAAAGCTCGCTTGTTATACGGGATCCGACGCATCCAGTAGAGCGAAGCAGCGTTCCCTTCTTTTCGGCGGCATACTTCCGCATTGGCGGTGAGTGGAGTGCCACAATCCCATTATTAATTTTTTATCTACATAATCCAAAGCCCATAGCACTGGCGACGTCTCCGGCATAAATGCAAGGAGGATGTATAGCTGATATAGGATCTTGTGGAACAGGATTTGATTCTGCAAGCGGTTCGGTACGAACGAAGAAATTTCGAACAAAAGGATCGGAACTCGCTGATAGGAAAGGAGAGAAAAACAAAGCAATGCCAAGAGCTCCGTCAATCCGCTGTTCATCGATAGACGAAGCTCTCTCTTTATCATATCGTGCCAGATGCAACAAAGGATGAGTCCTTCTTTTTCCTTCTCGCGAACCACGGGAGCGCCTAGCACCCAGAGGAGCAAAGCTAATTATCCTTTCAGGGTAAAGCGGCGCATAAAAAAGGGCTGGCCCGTCAAACGTCCGGTTCCTTCACGAACGAAGTTCAGAATCAACAAGGGTTCGTAGAACGAAGGGAGTGTACAACTGGGGCGCAACCCCAGTTTTTTGTTCGTAACGAGGGAGAGATAGAATGGAGTTCTTCACGAAGTTCGAGACAAAGTAATACAAAACTTCTCTATGGCCTCCTCGTTTTGAGACATTATGGCTTTTGGGGTCGACCCCGGTAACAAAGAAGGAATCCATAAAAACGTGGGATCCGACACCATGATAAAATACTACCCTCATGATTAGACCATGTCCCTGAGATTTGATAAAAGAAAGGTGCATTAGCGGTTAATACGTTGTAATTGGATAAGTTATTAGGAATATGACGGAACGAAAGACCGAGGAAAGAAAGAAGAATGCACCAAAATGCAGGTGCTGCACCAAACGCAGGTGGTTGTTTCTTGTTGTAAGTGAATGCAACGAAAAGACCCGGAAATAACAATAAATGAAAGAATTCATATATTATGTACATTTCGTGCTTTGCTCATTTATAAATTTCTGCTTTGTTATTCCCATCATCCGGTAACCACAGGATGATCCACAAGAAAGGTGGCAGGATTCGAACCTATGGCCGTCCCGCCCCTGACCTGCTGGGTTGGGTGGCCGGGTTAGCACCCCTCTAAGCCCCTGTACCCGAAACAGATGCGTTGCGCTACCCAGCGCTACACCTTGTCTCCCCTACTCCTCTTCTGGTTATGCCATTACCAATCGCGGGTAACCCCCGGGCCGGCCGCCCCTGACCTAATAAGATAAGAACTATTATCCTTATGACCAAACAGCGATAGTTTCACGATCCCGACCAGCAACTTGTTGGGAGTAGGGGCATCCAAGCTTGCCCAACCTAGACATTGTAACTGAAAGTCCTGCCTACTTGTAGGCTTAGGGTAGTCCTCGAAAACCTTCTTATTTTACTGGCTTGGGAAAGACCCGTAGACTATGGATCCCACTAATGGAATGGGACTATAACCATACTTCCATGGTCTAGGTTCAAGGACAATAAAGATTGAGGCTTGGAGTATCTAAGGCTTCATGGACCCAATTTTTAGGGCTTTTAAGGACGGACTCGCTAGTGTCCCAAGGATTTCCCGGTGAAACTACTAACTGAATTGCCCTAAAATATATATGTATTTTTCCACAGGACTGAATCCATAGAAACCTTGGCTTAGTGCCAGAACTGTAAGCGGCGGATGATTGGTATGCAGGATCGGTTGCAACGGTTTCACATTCATGTGAATCAAGAGATTGGCTTGAATTGAAAGGCTTTCCAACTAGCCGTTGTACCTGAGATTGCGATAAGTCCTTCTTCTTTGTCACCCCATTTCCCTTGGGACCAAGAACAAGCTCCAAAGAAGAAGAAGAGACTTAAAAAAACTATATGTGCTTGGTTGTTGACCAACAGAAAGGATGCATGGGAAAAAGACCTCAGATATCACAGGCTCTCTTCGGAGAGCGGTATACCGAAAAAAGCCCTTTTTAAAGTAAAGAAAGAAGATAGGCTTAAGTCATCGTCGAATAGGGGCTTTTAAAGAGCGTGACTCTTCTTTTTGAAAAAAGGTAAGACTCTGTCTTTATATAATATACACAATTTTAAGTCTAGTTCGCCACAAGGCATGCAAGCAAGGAAGCTAGCCTATGTGGAAGAAAGAAGTAAAGCTGCACGCAATCCACAACCAAAAGAGAAAAGCCACTCAAGGGCAGAGGGATCTTGCTCGTCAACGTCTGTTTCCGATCCGGTCATCAACATCTGCTTTCTTTTCTTCGGGACAAGAATGGTTATATCCTGGCAGTGAGCTTCTCGTACCTGTCGTCCAATCCATTAGCGTCCAGCCATTACGAAGAGAGCCTTGGGGCATCCGCTTAAACCAGAGCTTCTATTTACTCAACAGCTCTTACTGTAATAGAAAAGACTGGCACCGGTTGGTTATTCAACAGCAGATAGGCTTAGAGCCAGTAGTTGCCCTTGGATTATTCAAATGTCATTGCAGATGATCTTCTCGGGCAGTTATATCCCCCACCCAAAGCAAGGGTCCGAAGGATATAAAGTACTGCTTATTCTAATTCGTATCTTAAGTCTTTCCAGTTCCTATTCAAGTGAACGGGGCATCTTTGCATTCCTCCTAGCTACACGAATAGGAAAAGTTTAAGTTGTTATCGGAGCAGGTAATCTCTCCTGCCCTGCTTGTTGAGACTCGTCTCCATCCTATCTGCTCTTGTGCTAATGTTGAAAATCTGATTATAATTGGATAAAAATCAAGAATAATAGGATGCTTAAGCCAATAAGATAGATAAAGCATACCCCTACTACTGGTAAAAAACTATGTCACTTCCTTCCCCAGCGTTCAGTGGAACGTGAGGCACTATTCCCACAGCAGCTGGTTGGATTCTCCAACTTTGGCAAATGAACCCCGTTCAAGTTCCATCCCAACTGTCTCATCTTGAAAAAGGGCAATATGGCAATCTTTATTAGGTCAATCAGGCTTCGCACCTTCCTTTCCCCGTGGTTTAATCGGAGTAACCGCTTAATACATATTATTTGGCAAAGCAAGCTCACTGCCTTAATTTAGGAGTGAAAGAGCCCGAACAGCTTTTATTGCACCAAGAGCGGGAACTCAGACAGCGTATGAGTAGCTCGGATCTAGCTAGACTGCTCGCTAGGCCCCCTGCCTCTCTTTAAGCATCAAAATAGGAGATCTTTGGGTCTCGGCTATCACTTTACTTTCCTAAGTTTCGAAGGATTTAAGAAGCTGACTCTCGCAGCGGTTAGTGATTCAATCACACCGGAAAGGATAATTCTCAGAGCGTCAAGGCTTAGAGCTTCTTCTCAAGCTGCCTATTTTGTGCGTGGGTTAACTATTGATTCAATTGCGCAAAGAAGCCTAGTTGTCCTAAGAGTTGATTCGGGAACTGCTTCAATTCCAAGAGGAGCGCTTACTCTTGCAGCTTTTTATTTCACAACTCTTTCTATCACAACTTCTTTTTCCTCATACGGATCTAAGCTCTCGCAAGTGCCTTCCCTTCCTTCTTGCCTATTCGATAGGAGCTTGCATTCTCTGGGGGAGTTTTTTTATATAAAAGAATAGTTGGCATCAGTGTTATCAGTGCATCTATGAATCCAACCTTCCCTCACAGTGGGATGGGATAAACGCAGATTCATCCTTGCAATGGTTATTTCGGATTCTGTAAGAGCGGTACAAAAAGGCTATGAAGATTGTATGCTTTCCTTTACACCTTCAAGCTTGAAGGTTCGCGAAAGCAGTTCGGTGATTGCAAAGTACTCAATCAGGCCCTATCTCCTACGCTACCATCTGTCTTCGATTATAAAATTGATAGTTAGAGGGAATTAAAGATAAAATCCTAAAATAAAAGCACGCATGATAAAGTATACAATAGCACCATCTCTTCCCACTACGCGCTAAGAAGGAAAAGAAAGGACAGACAGCAAGCAGGGAAGGGGATTCTTTTTAAGCCTACTACTCTTTGGCCCGCTTGCTTGCATGGAATGAATAGGCTTGCTGACTGGCTTACTTACTGGAACTATCAAGCATAAAGCAGAGATGCCATACTCTTCTTTCGTGCACTATGCTTAAGACATATAATTAGAAGAAAGACATTTGCAATTGGCTAGGGCAGTTCCCTACACGGGCGAATTCCGACACTCACAGTACTCCCCACAGCTTTCGCCTACTGAGCTTGGGCTGGTAAGCTCCGGGGCCTCTTTCCTTCCCCTGTGTTCCTCCCCCCGCTTCCTAAAGTACTTTCCTTTGGCTTGGAAGGCAGCCACTTATTATGGAATGACATATATGATGATGATGGTAGCTATCTGCCTAGCCTCTGGTACATATTTTATTAATATTATTTACCATCCTTAACAGATGACTTACATTGTAGAGAAAGGTTTATCTAACTAGTTAGGGAGTTTGGCTGACCACCCAGCTTTCTGACGCTTTCTCGACGGTAGGCACCCAACGTCGCCAAAGAAATTAGCCTCTCCTTCTTCCTCAATAGATTTATTAAAATATCCATGGTGCTGGTATGCATACAGTGTCGGAGCTTGAATGGCCTCTCATTTCATTTTTGAAGTAGCAATTCACCAACTCTGGGCATGGCGCAAGAAGGTGCAACATAATGATTCTTTTCATTTTCCTCATAATCCTAGTGATCTCATCATTGCTAAAGCCAAGGAAATCTATAAGTGTTTAGTGAAAGCTCTTGATCTTAATCATCGAGAGGTAGAGTTTATCAAATAGGAAGCTCCCTCCCATCCTTTTGTTAAAGTCAATGTTGATGGTTGCGCCAAGAATAATCCAGGACCTGCAATGGGGGACTCATTAGAAATTAGAATGGAGAATGGATCATTGGATTCATGGAGAACCTAGGACATGCTACGAACTGTGCCAGCATAATTTTTTGCCATTTATCCAGGTCTTTCTCTTGCCTGGAACTCAGGCTTCAGAAGCATCTTTAAGCGGATTCGGAGGTCTGTCTCATTAGTATTATCCAACCTGTGCTGTGGTTGATGGCCCCACTCGAGCTCTAACTCCATACTATATTATCGATTTTCAGGTTAAAAGTCCGAGTGGCCCCGTGAGGATGCGGAAAGCCAATCCAATGATAAGAGTGGTTAATTGGGCTCTCTTCGAAGGATTTTAACCTTGATGCCCTATCCGTGGCGGCACCTAAGCCGGATTTAATTTTTTAGGGACGAACTGAAATACCCCATCATAGCACTCTAAGGTTCAGCGGGGAACTATTGAAGCTTCCAGCTTTCCACCTATATGGATTGTTTTAGCGTAAATAGACACGATCTTCGTTTGGTACGCGTCCAGTCTCTCTAAGCCCTGAAACCGTAACTATGGCTATGTTCTCAGATCCGTCTTTTCTGCTGTTCAAAGATCTCTCCGATTCCCTTTCTTTCGAAGTGGCATTGCCCAAAGTCGAATCCAAGGCTTGACACGGTCTTCTTAGCCCAGGATAACTAGAATAGTTAGTAGCTTATAGGATCCCAAAGCAATAACCACAGATGGAGGAGCATTCATCTTTTTAACCAGTTTTCCCCAACCAAGATATCCTGCCTATCCCGAAAAAGGGACTCCCTCCTTCCTTATTCTTATTCAACTAAAAGTAAAGTAAGGAAGATAAAAGATAAAGAAGAATCCTAACCAGAAGATAACCGGATCTTTCTCAGAGTAACAGAATGCAAGTCTTTACCTTTGGCTAGATATAGAGTCGAGTGAGGCGAAATGAATTGCGTATATAAATATAGCAAGTAGTTTTTGTTTTGTGAACGTGATTTGTGTGGGGTCAATGTACTTGCCGAAACTCGCTTGGCAGAATAATCTTAGCCAAAGCGAAGAACCGGCTTGACATGCCGCGAATCCTCTGGAAAGAGAGGGGTGGGGTTTCTCTCGCTTTCTCTTTTCCTCCCAAAGTTCTATCCTTATAAGCTTTATACACAAGGAAAGAGCCTTCGGGTATTCTTTTCTTCGGATGATAACGGTATGACCAAAAGGGCGAGACCCATGAGTCTTTATGTCTAGGACCGGGTGGAAGGAGCCATCTCCATACTCTCTAGTGGCACGAACTGACCTAAAAATTCTATAGAAGGCATGAAGCTCACGTTCTCGCAATCTGCGGTCAATGCCGGTTGAACTTCGGCAGAGACCTTAACAATAGAACCTCAGAACGGAAACTTTAAACATTGATGGTATGTGGAGGATCTGGCCTCACGCAACCAAGGCTTTCCAAGTAGTAAGTTGAATGAAGTGAGGATATC